ACGCAACTGCAGAAGGGCCTGAGCAATCTCATCTAATTGGACCTGATTTGAACAGGAGATTGGATTAGATGACCCCCAGAGGTTTTTTACAACCTAAGCTATTCTGTGATCCAGTGAAAAGAAATTCTCACTGTGTGTACAGAATTGTCTTTCCTGATGACCACATAAAGTAGAATTTGTTCAGGCTTTTAGATTAAGTCACTCTGTGTAGCAGGTCCTTATGTAATACTAATCAATGCTTCAGATCAATTTATATTATTAAAGAGGTACTTTAAAATTCTTGATTATGAGTCTAATAGCAAAAATTCAGAGAAATATTTTTCTGGTCCTCATTTTGAAGTGCACTAATTCTGAACAGCCTTTCTTGGCCGCTCAACCTGCCGTTGCTTCCTCCTGTGATGTGAAGGGTTGGTTAGGCCAGCCTTCATTTTGCTAAACTTTCTCTTTTAATGGGAGTTTTGGGATCTAGTAGTTTCTCCAAGCATTGCATTCCAGTAGGTCAGCCCACATTTGTAATGTCATTCAGATGTTGTTTTCCTGTTTGTGGCAAGCATTAAGAAAACAGGAGTGCATAATCATTTTTCATGTCCTTAAGACTGTCCAAAAGGATGAAAAGATAGATCTTTCGAAAAGAGGAAATATTTTTTGACATAATAAAGATCCTCTAGAAATTCAGGCTTGACAGCTTGCGTCTTTCACCAGCTCTGCACCTAGATCTGTATTTTTTTCTTCAGTCTGCTTCTTTTGTCATCTGGTTGACAGATATCCTGTAGTTTCCAATTGTGACAGTTAGGTGTGAGTTACTTCCTGAGTAACTGGGGTGAGTTTGTACAGGATTGTGTCTAACTCCATTCTCTCTCTCCTCTAGAAGCCCTGTATATATACAGATCAAATGAGGGTTTCTTGATGAACTGGAAATGAATCCTTCTAAACCTCTATTAGCATCAGTGAGTTGCTCCCTTGATTTTCTCTTTCAGTAGGTTTCTGCAATGAGATGCTTCAGTGCTGGTCTGTGTGGTTGAACAGGCTGTCTTAAGAGGAGGGTCTTACATGGTGAATCAATGCTTGCAGAGTACTTCAGAATTATAGGAGGAACTTGATTCCTCCAAATCTCAGTTTCTGTTTAAATTTGCATTATATTCAGGTTGATACAGTGATATGCTTTGTGCACAGATGCCTTCACAATTTCCCAGTTAAGGCACTCATTCAGCAAAGTAATCTAGCACATGCACTGCATCAGGTATGTAAGTAGTACCTGTAAAATCCACACTGAGTAAAGAAGGGGAAACTCAGATAATTGAAGGCAAAATAAATTAATGTGGGCTAAGCTCATTCTGAACAATGAGCATGTTTCAAAAGAATTTTTTTTCCCAAGCCTTTTTCTCTGTCTTTGGCTATGATTTTTTTTAATAATTTTTTTTTTAATAATTCTAAGGGTGTCAAATTCTAATGGTCAGATTGATTGACCTCAAGCCTGCAAGCAGTTTTTGACAAACATTGAAGTCAGGCCTCCCCTTGGCAGATGGTCTATACGATTTCTGTGGTGCAGTGGGGGAGGTATTTCTGGGGTCTGTACAGCACTGCAGGCTGCCATAAGAATTCACTGTTCGAGAAGGAATTGCAAGGAGGTCAGGCAGTTATTGATAAGCATATGTGGGCTACTGAGAAGGTCAGATTCGGGGGCCTCCCACTGAGGCAGCCTGCAGAGCATTGTGCTGTTGGAAAAGCCACTCCTCTTCGCATTAGAAACTCTGCCAGGAAAGAAGAGAATGAAGGGAAGGAGAAATAAAAAAGAAGGGGCTTTGGGTATTGAATGTAATTTGTACAAAGGTGCAGCAGGCTAACAAATAGGAGAATTTCACTGGGATAAGTGTCCAATATTTTAACATCTTCAGGTGTTTTTGTAGATTGAAGTAAATTAATTTTTCAGATGGAGTAGGTTTCACTTCAGTTTAAAGGATGTTTGGTACCACTGAAAAGAGTGTTTACAATAGTGACATGAAGATAAAGCAAAATAAAAATGCTGGAAGTTTTTTATTAGAAAAACTATTTATTTCAAGTGGTCTCTGAAACAGATATGCACATATCTCATAAAAGTGATAACTGTAGGATTTATCTTCTTTATGACAAGGATTGTTTACCCCACATAAGTGAAGTTAAAACTCATGTCAGATAATCTGCTATGAATATTCTTTATATAGAGAATTGGAGAAGAAGTAGGCTCAGAACTTCCTTCAGTTCCTTGGAACCTATTATTTTTCCAACATTTTTCATTCTCAGTCACCTCTGATTACAGCCGAGCAGAGATCAGAAGCCAACTATTGAGGTTTCTCTTTTGTGCTGGGTAGTGATGGCAGGGTGAGAAATAAACTACGAGCTGTGACCAAAGGCAGACTTGTAATTATTTGGCTATAATGATAATTGGCCTTAATACTGTAACAAATGCTCTGAGTTTGCACATCTGAACTCTGCCGTTTTGATCAATTTTCTTGTTTACAAAATCAGCTTGCCTTTGTTAGCACCAAAATTACCCAGTAACAGAATGGTGAATGATCGAGTGAGGTTCGCTGCAAAAGAAAGGAAAAGAATTCTGCCTAGGGCTGAAGTTTGGAGGGCAACAGGGTAAAGTGAAAATAGGAATTATTGGAATTATTGGTTGACTTCATTAATGCTGGTTGAGACATCTGTTATTTTCTCCTCTTACCTGGTGTAAGTTTAGACTCCTAAACTGAGATGCAAAGGACTAGAATAAACAGCCTAAAAACAGTTGACACAAAACCTCTATCACACACAGTTTTGCATGAATTTGGTTTACATTGCTTGTAAAGACTTATCACTCACTTATCACTTCAGTATTTGAAGATTCATTTTGTCAACCTGAAATTGGGACATGAACATTCTCCTAAAATACAGGTGTCCTTTCTCCTCCCTGCCCTCCCCCACGTTAAGATTACGTCCTTGGCTCTCTCAGCATGAATTATTCCCATTGCTTGTTGTTCAACACCCTGATCGGAGAGCAGATGAGACATTTATTCCTGTTGTTGCTGATTTACTATTACAGCTGCTTCCTCTTCTTGTGATTTAATTTGAAGTTTCAGCCCACCAGGGGGCTAATGGTCCCCACCTATGCAGCTTTAAAAGCTCACTGTTGTTTTCCACCGGAATGTTATTTCCATTCCTAGCCAGTGATTTATTATTTTTTCCTCAGTGTTCATCTGGTAACTGTGAGGCAGTATTCCATTAGCCATTTTCATGTGGGGAAAAAAAAAAAAAGAAAATCCAAACCCCTGCAACTCCTTAGGTTGAAAGCTTACAAATGAGAATTACTCTGTGACAGTAGAGACTCAGCAAATAAATAACAGTTTTGCAGTGCAGACTGAAGACTCAAAACTAAACCAAATGTAACAGGACCTTAGCAATCATTTAGATCCTTTACACTTCTCTTCTTTTTAGCATATAGCATATACAAGTCATTTTTTTTTTCCATTTCAGGAAAATGTAGGGCAGGCAGCAAACCCTAGAGTATGTGCAGTAGAATCCACTGTGTGATTGTGTACTGCTAGTAGATTCTGCATGGGGAGCTCAGTTTGAGAGGAACTACAAAGTTGTGACTGCAACTGGACAACCAAGGAGAAATTAGGAATGCTTTATACCAGACATCTTACAAGATCAGAATTACACATCTCTCTTACTGACTAATTCATGAAGCTAAACTTAAAAAGTGATGAGTTTTTTGATTCTAAATAATAAGTGACCTTGAAAACCTTTCTGTACAAACAGGATTAATTTTGATGTTTAGCAAAACTTTTTCTCTGCCTTTATTGTTACAGTGTGAGTTTAAGAGTAGCAGTCTTGAGTTTGCATTTTGTAAAACATCTGGTTTTCTAGGTTTATTACATTTTATGTGATTAAAGTCTATGTACATGTTTATGTTTTCCTCATCTTAAGTATATATTTGTAGCGTAATATATACATTTTATGATACATTCTCTGCTGGTCTAAAGAATTCTTTGATGAATTACGCACCTTCTGGTGTTTGGATGTGTCCTTTACCAGTTCATCAGTCCTTTTAGAAATTGAACTCTTCACTGAGTTAATGGTATCTTATCTGGCTAGGAATCACAGGTGTATTCCTCACAGACATCCTGTTTTCGGTGGCTTGTTTCTTGCTCTGGGGGGATAAGGAAAGGGGAGAGGGGTTGCAATGCAAAAAGGATGAAAGTGGCGCAGACCAGTAGAATTGGCTGCATGAAACCTTATTCCTTTCAACTATTATTAAAGGGTGGTACAATCTTTCCCCTCTTTGAGTAGGAGGATATTATTACCACATATCAGTGTTCAAGGTTGCTCTTTACAATATAAATCAAATATACTGCTTCCAGAGGCTCTGACTGATGGAGAAAAAAAGCATTAACTGCCAGGAAGCAGGTTTTCCTGTACTATCATTCAGTGGTCACTAACCTTTTCAATACAACCTTGATATTGCATTGCTAATTGTATAATTTAAAGAATACAAGTTTTTAATATTTATTCTAGGAGGAACATTAATCACAGTGCTTTAGAGCTGCATTTGCTTACTGGAAGCTTACCAGTTAATAAGCTAACTGCTAGTAATAACCATTAATGCAAACTCTACTTGAGTAATGTCACTTGTGGTGTTTAATGAATTAAGCTCAAAAAATAGAATAGAGTACTAAACTTGACTGACTTGCTGTAGAGGCAGCACAAAATTAGTCATTGGCTGTGAATGTTAATCACTCCACAGCAATGATAATTTACAGCATTGTTGTAGCACTCTTGTGCTCATAAAATGAACTTAATAACCCACTGCTACCCATGGGATAAGCCTTCCTTCTCCTTCCCTCCCCCTTGCAATTGAATATCCAGTCTGGCTGCATAATAGCCTTGTGAAATACTGCATTTAAAAGAGTGAGCAGCTGTATGATAAAATAAACAGCTCTAAAACAGATTTGTTAATTATCTCTTTCTTTTATTCGCAGAGGGTGTTTGTGAGATATGGCTGACCAGTGAAGACACAGGGGCTTATGGCAGAGACATTGGCACAGACCTCCCCACCCTTCTGTGGAAGCTGGTTGAAGTTATTCCTGAGGGAGCTATGCTGAGGCTTGGCATGACAAACCCTCCCTATATTTTAGAGCATCTGGAGGTAAGGAAGAAAAGAGAATCATTTATGTGCCGACGTAGACATTCATTGAGTGAGTCAGCATGGAACCTTGTGTGCAGTGTGTTTCATTTTAAGCGGTAGCTCGAAAAAATTATAGACTTCACGTAAATTTATAGAGTTAGACTAAGTGTTAAGCCATTTGCCTGACACAGCAAGTTATTGAAATAATAAGATACTCAAATGATTTTGGAATCATAATATTACTGAGATCTCTGACGTGTAGGACCTTATTGTAGTGATGTTCATTTTTGTGTATGACTAGTGTTTCCAATAACTAGAGGAAATGTCATTAGGAGGTGATAGACTCTGCGATTGAATTTGCCTTCCTGCTACAACTCAGGCAAATATTTCCAGAAACACTATATGCTGGTCTCTCTCAATGGTGTATTCATTATCCTGTTTCACATGTTATTTTTAGAGTCTGTAGACTTAATGATAAGAAATAGAAATCTAAGTGTATAACTGTATTTAAATAAAAAACGTAACAAAGTAGTTCAATGAGATTAGAAGCTACAGAGTGTACAAAAGTGTGAATTTGAAAGAGTATCTTGTGCATAGAGAGGAGGAAATGAGAGTTTCTTCTCAAAGTTGGGTTGGTTTTGTTGGATTCTGTCACCAGATGAATTTATTGAAATTCCTAGGAACTGTTCACAGAATGAACCCAATTTTAAAGGGAAGAAAAAAGCAGGGAAGGATGTAGTTTAAGGTAAATTTTGTAACCATGTGCATCAGCAATACCCAGATAAATAGCTGGTGTTCCATGCTGCTTTGCCAGAGATATTATAGCATTAATAGTTGCACTTGTGTTTCCTTAAGGTGTCAAGGGCAGTATTTTCTCACCAGAGTGCCATAACTGTACCTTTCCCTAATGTTGAAGCATGTGGACTAGGAGAATCTCATCTTGATAGGAATAAGCAGGTTTTCACTTCTCCAGCTACAGAACACAAAGTGCAGAAAATTGCAAGAAACTTCCTGGCTTATTTTATTCTTTGGTTTAACATACGCTTCACTAAGAGTCTTAACAGCAGACCTGACAGAAGCCTTTAGGAAGTGGTGTGGTTGTTTGTGAGAGCTTTGTGTTGTGTCTCAGACTCTCATATCTGTCTCAAGTTTTTCTTCTTTTCTTTTTTTTTTATTTTAACATTTTTCAGCATCTTGTACAAAAGCAAATCAAGCTTTTAGTTAGTGTCTTTGCTTAAATTTTTTATTTGCATTATTATTTAATAGTTTGGCATAGGCTGCTGCTTTTGTCACTGCTGGTCATCATACTTTTAGAAGCTTTAAAAAAAAAAAAAAAAAAAGAAAAATCAGCTGCTGTAAATAGCAAACTGCTCTGCCCAGGTAAGAGGCACTGTAGTAGTCTTAATTTGATATAATCTGAGAAAAGTGGAAAGAATATTGCTTTGCTTCAATCCGTAGCCAACATAGTGAGTGTGAGCTTTCTGTTCACAAGTCTGTAAATTTGTGATCTCTGTTCTTCCTGTTTCTAAATTTTCTAGAAAGTGCTATAGGTAGGACTTTTATCTGACTCATATTTAGGAAAAATACTCTCATTTCTTTAAAAATGGATCTTTAGGTGTCATGAGGAATTCATGAGAGCCTATTGAAAATGAGTGTCCTGAATGTCGCTGTGCAGAGCATGCTTTATGTGTGCACCAGCCTTATTGTATAATGAAAGCATCTGCTGTTGCTTGTCATCTTCAGTGTTCCATACAGTTTCCAGTTCATATGATTTTTTTTTAAAGGATTATTTAATCACAATTCTGTGTTTCACGTGTGACTAAGAATTTCTGAGCTTGAAATTTGGTGACATAATTTTGATGATTTGACAAACTAAATTTGTAAAAACATTTTTGCCTTCTGCATTTTTATCTTATCTCCTCTTCTAAGCTCACCAGACTTGTCTTTGAAGGATCACTGGGCAGTGTTAGCAGTCTTCTGTATACATTTTCACTAAACAAAATAAACTTTTTATGGAGAATGTGCTTTTAATTTTTCAGTTGAGGAAAGGGTAAAAGTATAATTTGTTAAAAAAAGCCCCAAATTAAATGAGAAAGTGATTAACCTTTGTGTCAGTTGATGAGGATAAAATCCAGATGTAGATTTGTTATCTCTTAAGAAAGGTATGAAGTTGGGTTATTTGCTGCAAACATCTTTCATTAATTGTTTTAAAAGGTACTGCATTTTAATAATTTATTTTGTTAGAAATCATCTTGCTAATTAGGATGTTGTTTGGCTTTCTGTGAAAAAATTTTACACTGGAAAATGTACTAATCTTGTGTCACTTTTTATATACAATGAAAAGGACCAAGTTATTCCAGTCATTTATTGTTTTTAAAAATCAGAAATTTTCAGCAATACAGCTTGCATACAACTGAACATATGCAACTGCTAGGCAAGAGTTTATTTCACTTTAGAAATTAACACATCTGATATGTAGAATAGAGCAACAGTAGTCATGTAAAAGTATAAATTAATTTTAAGATCTAGACAGAGCTTCCCTGGAGACTCAGTCTAAAAGCAATTATTTTGATTCATTTACACTTTTCCCATATTTATTGGAGCTTACCTGCAGGTAAAAGGTTTGGCCAGTTTTATGTCTGTCTTATTCTTCTAACCTCCAAAGCTAGTAACAAAGTTTATTAACATATATTTGTTTTCTCCAGTTACACTCAGTTGTAAGTTAAATGTTTTAAAAATATGTGTTTCCAGAGATGATGCTATGTATATTTTTTTCAATACTGATCTGTAGTAATACATGGACTCTTCTATCATTAGAACTTGTTAGCTACTTCAATTATGAGGTTTTTTAACAATTTACAAAAATCTGTTTTCCTTCCAGTTGTTGTACATTTTAATCACTCATCATTCAAAGCATCAGGTCATTGGCTTGATTATGTCCTTGGAATTCACAGGTTTATTTTACTCTTTGCTGGAGTGTCTGCACCTTTCAGTTTTCAGGATGTGAGGAGATTGGAGATAAAAAGAACAGGGGTGCGCAGATTAGCGTGGTGAATTGTTGATGGCACAGATGCAGCAGAAGCAAAGAACTCCCTGGACAACGTTGCAGCAATGCTAATGTCCTCAGTGAATGAGGAAAACATTGCACTTATGGATAATGTGATTGAACAGAGTCAGTTTAAGATTTCATATGATTTAAAATACTGAGCATACCTAGTGCCTTCAGGTGCTGCTGTCAGGTAAATGTCATCCTGTACTTAAAGATGGTTGTTGTTTCAGGGGATGCTGTTAATCTCTTGAAAGTCCTCAATATGCTTGTGTTGTATGGTCTCACAATTTAGTACTTTAGTTTTTTATTCAGTAAATATGGGGGTAATAGTGCCATGTTGAGCATGACCAGTCTTGGGATGAGAAGCAACCATATGTTTTCAAACTGTAAATTCTGCATTCAGTTAGACCTTTTTATTTGTAAAGAAAGAAATATTTGGAACCATACATTTTTTTACAGTCATGCAAAATATTAAACACCTTTTGATATGCTGCATACTGAGCTGAGTCATTACAAAAAGAGCCTTTATCACAACTATTCAGGCTGTAAAAATACTAAATATTTTATCTGCTATTTTCTTCAGCTGCAAATGATGTCTGCACTTACTTTAGTGAGTAGTATGAAGTAGCAAAATCAGATCAGGAAATCACAAAATTTGGTAGTGAAACCACTATATTTAGGTTTACCTGCATTTTGGAGTCCTTACTTCAAAATCAGTCTAATTCTGTTAGACTTTCCCACTACCTATGATCCAAAGCTGTTTCAAAGACAGACCATTGATTTGAATCCCTCTGTTCCCACCAATGGAGTACACTCACTGTGAACCTGGAGTATGGCTACTGATTTCCTTGGATGTGAATTTAGTTTGCCCACTACAAGGTCACCCTGCAGACTGAACAAACCAATGGCCATAAAGGGAGCATGGGAAATTGCACTTTAAAATTTCACTGCTGCTTTCAACAGGCAATGAATGTGAACGCAGCCAGTCGTTGTAGGACTTCTCCCACATGAGGTTTGTTGGTATGACAGAGAGGGTTATTTGGTGTGTTTAAAGAAACTGAAGGACTGGAGACCTCAACATTTGTTTCTCTTGATCGTAGTACTAAGACTGAGAAAAAAGTTGGAGCTTGTGGTTTACCTGCAGAGGACATTTTCAGTTTTCCTCTTGGAGAAAATCTGGCTGAGCAATGGAGGTAGTATTGTGGTTTTCCAAAGTGCTCTTTCGCAGTCTTAGAGTCTCTTTGAACATATACATAATGAAGCATGTTGCTTGCTTATTTGAAGTTTGGTCTCAAACTGAGATTTTGCAATATGTGCAGTGGGAGATATGTCCAGTGTCAGTCCTCTCTTAATATGTTGGTGCAACACAGCATCGAGAAAAACTTGGAATTTTATCTACATGGCAGAAAATTTTAGCAAACAGACATGAACTATGGTCAGGGAAAAATAATTTAGCTCAGATTTTATTTTTTTTTCTAAATTTTATATGATGTTAAAGGTGAAGGAGAAGGTTAGCGTTAGAGTCCATTTTACAGTCTTAGCAAAACCTAAAAGGAATGCATGTGTGTGTGGTTACCTTGTGTACTCTTGCCCATATGTCTTTGCACAGAGCTACTGCTCTAATTACACACACTGCCAGATGGCAAAGATTTTATCATCTTATAGTATCAACATGTAGCAGAAGTACGTAAGGAATACACCCTGCTTTAGAAGTAACCTCCAGGCATTTTTTCTACAATCCTGTTACAAAGCTATTCGCTAGTGCTCCAGTGAGATGGTGTTTAACATCCACTTGCAGTGACTGATGGATTGGGAGGGTTGGAAAAAGTCCATTAAAACAGTGGCAGGAGATAAACGATGAAAGGGAGTTAGTCTGAAAAGTAAGAAACAAGGCCAAACGTATAGCAGCTTGAAATTAATTAATGTTTGTGGCATAGTGTTAGATACTAATTTTTGCCCTGATTATATTTCA